TCATTAGTGTTCAAGGCCTCAAACCTGTTCCTGAGATGATTCTGAAATTCAGGTGGTATGAAATCAAAGTCATATTTTGGCTCCTGTGTATAATCAACTAAAGGCCATGTTACTGTTGTTGCAAATTACAAATAAATGCTACATTAATATTACTTCTAAGTATTACTTTAAAAAAAATTCCCAAGTGGAATTATAACCATAGCTATCAAAACTCAAATGAATTGCCATTGGATCAGAATGACTTATTAGTGACCTCTAATGGGTTTTCTGATGCAGTAAATCACACAGGAGGAGATTGCCCATCTTTTCCCCATGAAGCAGTGGGTGGATTCAAACTGCCACTGAGGCATTAACCGCCTGCAGACTGTACCACGAGAGCTCCCTTCACCATAGGTACATTGTTGTTGTTGTTGTGTACCATGGAGGTGACTACAGCTCCTTAAAGCACTATGAACAATGGTTCTAAATCCTGCCCAGTCCTGAGCCAGCCTCACCATCTCTGACACACCTGACCCCATTGCCACAGTCACTGTGTCAGTCTATCTCATTCGGGGTCTTCCTCTCCTACTCTGACCCTCCACCCTTCCAAGCATGATGTCCCTCTCTAATGCCCGAAGTATGTGAGATAGAGCTTCAAAATCCTTGCCTCCAAGGAGCAAAACAGGAGAAACCACAGGTCTAGGGGCTGGGAATTACAACACCTATTTTTCAGGGACAAAGTTCAGTCCATAACAAGCAGTAAAACTATTCTGTATGAAATTATGCATCTATCAAAACCCACAAAGAGTCTGTCTTAATGTAAACTATGGTTTTTTCCAGTCACTTGCTATATAGCAGAGATCCAGGCAACAGAAAGCCAACAGAAGAGTCAATGCTTTGAGTTGTTGTGTTAGAGAAGAGTACTGAGTAACAGATGTGTCTTGGAGGAAATCCAACCAGGGTGCTGCTTGAGGCTAGGGTGGTGAACTTTCATCTCACATATTTTCGACATGTTATGTGGGGCCAGTCCTCAGTAAAGGACGTAATGCTCGGAAAGGTGGAGGGTCAGTGAGAGAGAGGAAGACCCTCATAGAGACGGACTGACACAGGGTCTGTAACAGGAATCAAGAGTATCAGACATGATGCGGATGGTACAGAATCGGGCAGGGTTCAGACTGTCGTTGATAGCGTCACTATGAGTTATAGACAACTTGGTGGTATCTAACAATATAAGCCTCGTAAATTGTGAGGGAATAAATTTCTGATTGTTAAAGCTCCCCAGCTGTACTAGCTAGCCAAGACATTATCCTACAGATGCCTTCTCTTCATCACTACTGTCCTCCCTAACACCCTGGCAACCACTGATCGCATGACAATCTCTAAAGAAGGATTTGTTGAATTTTTTTAATATTATAGTTTTTGTAGATCAAACCATTTGATTCACTTTGTGGTTAAAAAAATGTTTACTGCTTAGAAAATTGTGTCAATTTTCTGATGCCGCAGCTTGCTGACATCTGAGAAATACCTAAGGCAAAGTCTTCTAATTTGGTCAGTTTAAAGTCTAATGTGTCCTACAAAAGTAGCTCCAATCCAATAAAAGAGAAAACCTGTCTGGTCTAGGAAGCACATCTTTGGGACCGGAGCACATCATAGGACAAGGGAAGAGAAGTGAGCCAGAGCCCCCCCCCCCGGTTTCTCTGTCTGGTGTTGCCGACAGGGTAGCAGGTGCGGGTTTCCTCCAGACACCTTTCACATAGAAATTGGTTCATTTTCAGAGTTTACTTACAGAGTCCGTGCAAATGACCTACTTGTGGACGGCTGAGTGACCTAATACCACTGGTTTTATTTCAGGATTTTGATATTTCAATATTTCAGGAGCCTGCTTCTGAAGGTTTGGTGTTTTTTTAAGAAGTCCATTAACTATTAAAATGAGATGTTGTTGTTCTGTGCCGTCCAATTAGAACCGACTCATAGCTAATCCCCCTGCAGGTTTTCAGAGGCTGTAAATTGCATAAGAGGAGAGAGCCCATCTTTCTCCTATGGAGCAGCTCGTAGGTTCCAACCTGTTGCCTTTGGTTTGGCAATACAATTCCTTACCACTAAGCCACCAGAGCTTCCTTAAGATAAAACCTCAAAATGTGACTGTGAAAGGGAGCTCTGCTGGCCTAATGGCAGAAGTCTGCTCTGCAATCCCAAAGGCACGTAGTTTGAGACCACCAGCTGCTCCATGGGAGAGGGAAGGGCAGTCTCCTCCCATGCCATTAACTGCCTCTGCAAACACACCAGAGGGTCAGCTATGGGTCTGTCCTGATTACAGCACACAACAACACAGTCCTGGAGGACATCATGCAGGGGAGGGGGTCAGCAGAAAAGAAAAAGAGCCTCAGTGAGAGGGATCAGCACGCATTGTGAGCGGAGGGATAGTTAAATGGGAAAGATAAGTGTGAAAAACAATATATACAAACTTTGTAAGTCAACCAGTATAAAATTTTTTTCAGAAATGTGAATGTGAGCATTAGAAATACAAAGTATATATTATAAATCCATTCTTGGTAGAATCATTAGGAAAAATAAACATTTGCTTAAAAAATAAACTCAGCAAGTGTTACTAATCAGCCAGAAGTTTTCATTTACTGTTTCCATATAAGATCATTTACTGTTTCCATATAAGATCATTTACTGTTTCCATGTAAGATCATTTATTGTTTCCATATAAGATCATTTACTGTTTCCATATAAGATCATTTATTGTTTCCATATAAATCATTTAGTATTTACATATAAGATCATTTACTGTTTACATATAAGATAAAGTGAAATACAGAAATTGTACACATTTAGTAGCTGACAGATTACTGTTTGATATGTATCAGAGAGCTGGACCGTGACCAAGGATTACAAGAAGAATTGATGTCCTTGAGTTGTGGTGCTAGAGAAGAGTATTGAAAATACTGTGGACCACCAGGAGAACAAACAGATCTCTCTTGGAGAGGGTGAAACCAAGTTTCTCCCTAGAGACTAGGATTTTGACACTCTGTCTCACGTACTTTGAACACATGACCAGGAGGGCCAGTCCTTGGAGAAGGACATCATGCTTGGAAGGATGGAGGGACAGCGCAGGAGAGGAAGACTTAAGATGAGATGGGGTGACACAGTAACTAGGGTAATGGGGCTTGGTGTGTCAGTCACTGAGACTGGGACAGGGGAGGGCAGGGTTCAGAACTGTTGTACATAGGGTCATTATGAGCTACAAACAATACATTTGACACTTAACAACAGCAGTGTATCAGAAAACCGATATGAAATATTAGAAAGGGGCCAGTTGTCACTTTCTCAAGCAAATGTCAATGCACAGAAAACTAGATTAATTTCAGAATAGACATTCTGCCTTTCAGAGGGATAACTGTATAATCAGGTTATTGGATGGAGAAGTACAGTTGTGGAAGTGTTTTCTGGAAATGATTACTGTAAGTGTACATAATCCATGAGAAAATTAGCCTTCCTTATTTCACTTGGCTGGCCTCTTTGAGTTCAACAATTAAAATTGATTTAGTGATGGTCAGTGTCGTATTTTCAAGACTGTAGGTATGAAAATAAGATAAAACTCCTGTTCTTTAAATCAGAATTTTAAAAAATTAAGTCAGCAGCATCAAAATGGAAAAAAAAAATAATGTCATGATGATCCCATTGACATCTGAATTGACAGTGGAATCAGAGCCGCTTTTTTTTTTAAATTTTTTTATTTATTTTTTTTTTTATGAAAAACAACCCAGTATGTACATGTGTTGACAGAGGAGGCATAAATAAACGTTGTTTTCATAACTCTGCTCTCCTTCAAAGAGACAGTTTAACAAGGGATGTGACTCAGTTATTTGCTAGTACACCTGTGAGTATCCTCTCTGGTCAGGTCCACATCACCGTTCATCTGTCTTGACACAGTCACAAACCTCTTCCTCTTTAATAACCCATGCTGTCATATCACTTTTATCTTTTGATTTTACTTTTTGTTTTGTTTTGTTTTATTTTCAATGAACATTCACAGGGATTCTGGGCTTTCACTCCTTCATTGCCGCACCATTCTCTCCACCCTCCTCCCCAGTTTGTTCTTCTTCCCCGCCATCCGAATGTCTGTTTTAATTGTCCAGTTGCCACAGTGCTTGTCAAAGTCAGTTCTGATTAATCTCCTTTGTCGGTGTGTCCTTTGCCATTCCCTATCACTCCTCCCTGAGAGAGACTTCACCCTGATTCATAAGGAAAAGGGGATGGCGTATTCTCTTAGCTACTTCCTGCTGAAAAGGGACGCTGTGGGTTTCAGGGTGAAGATCTTCTCTCACTACTCTAAAGGGCCCCTTTGGCAGTAGGAAACACTTTTAAAGTTGAAAATTAAGTTTTTTCTCATTTTTTGACAAGAATATGTTTTCTGTTTCATTATTTCAGTATACTGTGTGAAAGCTATCAGCTTCTAGAAGGTGGCTATAATAGGGAGAATATTGCAGCCATACCTAAATACAAGCTGCTTTTGCTTTCTGTTTTTTTATACAAGTGATCTAAGGCCATGTCCTTTAACTTTCTCTCTGCTGGGCTGCCATCTGCCTTCAGGCACTTTCTGCAGGGCTGTGTGACGTCTTCATGAGTCCCCAGTCACCTTGCTGTCATCCTCTTCCTGCGGAGACTGGAGGAGGCCCTATCCAAGGTGCCCTCTGTGAGTCCATCTTCAGAGTGCAGAACAACCGCTTGGCTGAGCTATTTCTGAACTGACCTTCAAATAAGGTTTTGTGTTTTTGTATAAACTTGAACAACTTTCATCATTTTCTAACTGTTTCTCAGTTTGAAGATCAAAAAACTTCCGCCACAGTCACTTGGGATTTGTTAGCATTACGAAGGGTTTTTTCTGAAGTTTCTTTTTCATTGTGGATAAATTCATTCATTTATCATTTTATAGTAGTTTGGTATCGGGTCCCTGGAAATCATTATTTCATTCATGGCAGCCATAGGTAAACAGATATTCACATTTCCCTTGGTCCATGAGGTTAACCTGTGTGCAATTTTCCACTTCTTACCATGTTAGAAATGATCATAGCTTCTGGTTTCCCAGTGTTTCTGTAAAACATGCATATACAGTTTCCACTTGGGAAGCTAAGAAGGATTGAACATGAAAAATTAGATGAACAGAATTTTGGGCATTTTTTTGCAGCACAGAAGATCCCCTCCATGTGGTGAAAGCACACCAATCTTCACTTAGGTTCCCATCTTTGCTGTTGCTGATTCTCCCAGTCCCTGCTGACCTGCATCTGAAGGCTTCCTTGGGGCAGTTTCTGTCACCAAGATTAACAGACGGCACATAACATAATTGTATGCAGGTCTTCCTGAAAAAGTGTTCAACTACTTTGGCTAAATACATCCTGCTCTCATCTTGTGCTGCTTTTGGTTTTCTTTCCAAAAGTAAGTGATGATCTTAAAATGTAATTAAGAATTTTTTCTTAAAATACAATTAAACATAAAAAAAGAACGTTTTTCTGCTCTGAGTGTTGTAGACCATAAAGAGAGAGGAGACAAGATTGAAATATTCCTCAGTGAAATATTTCTTATAGTACTTCTCAGAAGTAGTTCCATCTGTTAGGATTGATAATCAGTGGGCAGAATGCCCTGGGGAGACTAGGTAGACAAGTGAAGGGAAGCGGGACCAAACCCCAGAGTTGACCTGGGTAGAACCTGGGACCTCGTGTCAGACCCCTGGGAACTCCCTGCTCCCTGGGGCGGCCAGCCTCACCCAGCCTTTTGCACAGAGTCATGTCCGTGCTAACTTGCTGAACCAGAATTCTGGGATCTTTTAGGACTCAGTTGCCATTAAGGATGTGGCCGTGGACTTTACCCAGGAAGAGTGGGCTTTGCTGGATCTTGTTCAGAGGAAACTCTACATAGATGTGATGCTGGAGACCTTCATAAACCTGGCCTCTGTAGGTAAGGATGGCATCAATTTTTAATTCACTATTTTAGTGAACAGATACACATTGTATTCATTGGCCTTGCTCCAGTATCTGAGCTGAAGATAGGGAATATATGTTTAAACAGCATAGGCACCGGCACTTGCTCTATAATGTGTTTATATCCTGACTTTTTTTTTTAATTATTATTACATTTTATTAGTTTTAATGAACATTTACAGAGATTTTGGGTTCTCATTCATTCATTGCTGCACTGTTTTCTCTACTCTCCTCCCCAGTTCATTCCTCTTCCCCCCACCCCGAATGTCTGTTTTAATTGTCCAATTGCCACAGTTCTTGTCAAAGCCAGTTCTGATTAATCTCCTTTGTCAGTGTGTCCTTTGCCATTCCCTATCGCTCCTCCCTGAGAGAGACTTCACCCTGATTCATAAGGAAAAGGGGATGGCGTATTCTCTTAGCTACTTCCTGCTGAAAAGGGACGCTTTTATGAATATAAAGCTCTGTATATTAAACTGACTTTACTTCTCTTGTGGTTAAAAGCCTTAAGCTCCTTGAGTTCCCTAAGAATGAGGATTGACTTCAAGGGTCACTTTAGTACAGAGATTTCTGGTGTGGAATTTTCTCAGAGTTTTACCGTTGTTATTCTTAAATTAAATATGATATTTTGCTGCAAATAAACTCACACCCATCTTCAGAGATCCTGCATGTGAGAATACTGACTTGGCATAAAATACTGCTGCTGGTGGCGGTGGAGGTAACACTAAAGTGCCATCAAGTCGAGTACGACTCTTAGTGACCCTGTGAACAAAGATCTGAACCCTGTCCTGTCCTCTGCCACCTCATCATCCCTGACACTCTCCAGCCCATGGCCACCGTCACCGTGTCAGTCTGTCTCTTTGAGATTCTTCCTCTCCTGCTGACCCTCTGTCTCTCCAAGTATGATGTCCCTCTCCAAGGAATAGCCTCGCCTAGCAGCAGTTATAGCAGTGTTGGCACTTACTTCATTTCGAGGGGGCAGATATAACCAGGATTAGCTTAACACCTGACTCCCATGAGGTGGGGACAGCCATACCTCCCCTCCTCTTTTTACTGCCAGTCATCCCCCAAGGCCCTCTCCACTTCTGCACTGAGTTAGGTGTCTGTTGCAGTGCTCACCCCACATCCACAGATAGTTCTTACAGTGGGGTTTATTAAGGAACGGTGCAGTTTGCATCCAGAACAGTTACAACTGAGGATCAAGAATCATGTAGGTAAAGCCTCCCTACTTTAGAGCAGAACTGCTCTCTTTGGACTTGCAAGCCTCTTCTTGGCCCCTTTAGGACAGGTTCCTTTTGGTCCTGCCATCTGTCACATCCATGCTGCCACAGAGTCCCTGCAGGGCCTGTCACCCCTGGCTTTGCTGTACCACCTCTTCCAGACTTCTTGATCTAGCCATCCTCTGACCTTTTCACCCTGTTTTTTCACATACATTGTACCAGTCCAAATGAGTCACTGACACTTTGTCTACCCACAGGACAAAAACTTGAGCAAGATCACGCAGGTGTCTGCTCCAGGTGTGCATCTGATAGCATCTGATCCCAAGTACAGACCTTAGTGCAACCCAGGACCGCGTGTCAGAGCCTTTCATTCTCCCAAAGGTCCCTTTGGTTTAACACTGGTGTCCAGTGAAATTTAACTGGACAAAGATTATATCCACTTCTCACTTCCTGTTGTTGTTAGGTGCCATTGAGTCAAGTATGACCCTTCGAGACTCTGAACAACAGATCTGAATCCTGTCCTGTCATGTGCCATCCTCACACTTCCTAACACACTAGAGCCCATTCACCAGTCAGCATGTCTGACTGCCTGGTCAAGGGCCTTCCTCTCCTTTGCTGACCTGCTACCTTTCTGAGCATTATGTCCCTCTCCAAGGAATAGCCCCTCCTAGCAACAGGCCTGTATGGGAGATGAAGCCTCATCATCCTTGCCTCCAAAGAGCGCTCTGGCTACATCCTCTCCAAAACATGGCTGTTTGTTCTTTTGGCCGTCCAAGAGGTGTTCAGTGCTCTTCTCCAACACCACAACTCAAAGGTATAGATTCTAATGTCATCCTTATTCATTGTCCAGTTCTCAGAAAAATAGTAAGTGATCAGAAAAACCATGGCCGGAATCAGATGCACCTTAGTCTTCAAACAGACATCATTACTCCTGAATAATTTGGAGAGGTCGCTAACTGCAGATTTCCCCAGTGTAATATGTCTCCTGATTTCCTGACTGCTGGTACCAGAGGTGTTAACTGTGGATCTACTTCTCACTTAGCACGATTCTGTTTCAAAGACCAGGTCATTTTATGAAATCACTGTTGAGTGAGAACTGGTAGCCTTGTGCCCTCACTGTTTGTCACTGTTGAGAACTCCCACAGTGTCTCAGCCTGGGGGTGGCGTAGCAGACTCTCTTTCAGCTCCTCACCTTCCTTACCACCGTGGAGCCCCTGCAGTTGGTGGTGGTCACACTCATTGTCTCCTGCCTCTTGCCGCTTGGCCAGGGCAAGGACCCCATTCTTCCTCCACTTGCTACTTGCCATCCTGGACAGAGATTCCACTTGTCCTCTGCCCCAGTGGGGTGGCCTCACATCATGGCCCCCCTTTCTCCCTTCCTCCCTCCGTGGTACCTTCAAGCCCTTGACTGGCCTCTTCTTGACCACCTGTGACCTAGTGGCAGAACTGAGATGTTGAAGATGAAAGAGAGAAAGTATCCTATGGAGATTAGCCACCACTCCTTGTGTGATCTTTTGGCTCCTTAGGCCTCTGATATATCATTTGGGGTGGCCCCCAGAGGGCACTGCATGCCCAGCTGGGACCCAGAGTGGGGCCTGGACAATTAGAGGCACTGCCTGAGAATTTTTTGGAAGTTGTTATAAATGTGAAATGTCAGATAACAAGGTGGTTACCAAATGAGGAGCATAGATGTATTCTTGTGTTCCCTTGCCCTAAGTTTTTGTCAGAAACATAGCTAAATCTTTTAAAGGCAAGCTTCTCAGTTGTTCTCCATCCCATCAATATTTTTATTTACTGTTGACCAATCCCTTTATCACCCACCCTCCTCAAGTCCCCATTGCACCTTGCCTATTCCTTCATGCCCCCTCCGTCTACTCATCTGCTGCCCTCATGTTTCTTCCCCCTTCCGATTTTTCTGCCCCTTCTCCCTTTCTTCCGCCCCTCTTGAACAGCTGTCTTGTTCCTATTTGCTAACTGAAGTAGCCATATTGTCCTTCCGTCAGTTCCAGTTCACTCATTTAATTACAACTTCTACAATTACACATTTGTTTGCTTTTCCAGTAATCACAGTTAACCTGTCAGTTAACAGTAAGAACTCACAACTTTTTTTTTTTTTTTAATTTCAATCTTTTCTTCCTTTATTATTATGTTGCCTATTGTTCCAGTGGTGAGAATCTTCGAAGAACTCACAACTTAAACATACAATATCGTCTTGAATCTTCCCACACCTTCTCTTCCTCAGAGAAACTATTCATGGGAGTCCTTTCTTGTCCCCTTTATTTTGAGTATAAATACTTAGGAAAGTGTGTCGGCCAGCCTCATCCTGCCCTTCTCTTTCCCTGTTTAGATTGCCCATCCCTGTAAAACAATTTTTTGAGGATACAAGCATGTTCCTTAATCTGAAGAATATTCTGTTCTACTTGGAACTCTGAGCATCAGCATAAGCAATGTTGAGTCCAAGGCAAGCCATCCAGTTGCCACAATCAACACTAACTCAGCCGTGTCAGACGTCTCCTTTTTCCTCCTTGCAGCTCATCTTCGTCCCCATTTAGTCAGAGTTGGCCCATCCCTAGCCATCCAAGCTGGGTCAGTGGATACGAGATGCAGGCTTAGGAATCCACAGAACTTCTGTTCATCAGACCAGCAAACCCCCTTCCATCTCCCTCTCATTTCTAGGTCCCCAGGGCTAGGTCAGTGGGTCCCAGAGGAACATGTTTCAGCTCAGTTCATTTCCTTATTGCTGTATCTCCTCCACATCAACTCATCTGTGGACAGCAGCTGGCGGCCTCAAGCAGACATAAAAGCTGTCTCCTCCCTGGCTTCCATTGTCCTGGAAAAGGATTATTCTGATGAGTACTGACAAGTTCTATTCATTAGAATTCATAAGACTAGGATTTATTGACAAGACTAGCCAGTCCCCTGGTAGATGGTTGAGACTGGCCAGTCCCCTTGTGAAATGGTAAATAGCCCCAAGTGCAATTCTACTGATTGCACAAGCTTTTGACATATACCTCATTTGCTATTTACTCATTTCCCCTGTTAGCACATCCAGTCAGGAGTTGCACTCTTTGTTTATAATACTCAGTATTTCCATCATACATTCAGGCTGTTTTACAGCATCAGGTAGGATAAACATTCCTTCAGTGAGACAAACATATATTCAGTTACTAATCCAAATTTGATAAACATGTAACTGTTTAAAACAATCCAGTTTCATAATTCTGTTTTCCACCTCCTGGCTATTTTACCTAGATAATAAACATTTGACCTTGAGTTTCTGGCTACGTTGAGACAGATGACCCGGGCCCACCATTCCTCATGTTGGTTAACTTACTGGACTCTAATGAAAAGCCTCTCCAGTTTCTGCCTTTTTTATCCAGTTTCACTTTACCTATCCAGTTTTGTTTGTTTGTTTCGTTTTTTAATAGAACGTCATTTAATGAAAACAGAAAGAAAAATGCCATTACCTGTGATAATAACTGTCAAATAAAACCATATGCCAAGCTGTTTATAAATTTCCTCACGGGTTATGTGGTTTCTTAATGAGTTAGAGTTTGAACAAAAGCCTGCTTATGCCATTTATCAGTGGTGGCTCTAATGACCTGCCCTTCCCTTTCAGACAAGCCACAGATTTTGCTGTCTAGCTCTACGCCATCTTTCTGAGGATTCACGCACATTCATTCTCTCAGCTCTGTCATTGTCAAGACACCCACCCACTTACTTTCACTCATTTTCCCAAGCTTCCTTCACATTAGCACTGATCCCTTGGGCCAGGTCTTTCTAGCTCAGCCTAAATGGATCACATTTGATGGGTGTTTTTATCCAGTTTTCCTCTGGAAGCTTCACATGTTCACATGGATAACCCTGCTGGTTCTAACAGACCCTCGAATACCTTATGCACAGAATTGGAACTTCGCTATATATCGTACTAACAGGCCCTCAAGTTGAAACACACTCAGAATGTGACCGAGTACGAATTGCCTCCTCTAAGTAGAATCTAACTTAATGACACATATGGAGTAAAGCTTCCCCCAGTGAAGGACCTTCATTTGCCGATGTGACAAAACTCTAAATGAGAAACAGCTGCACACATCCATTGAAAACTGGAACATGGAATGTACAGAGTATTAGCCTAGGAAAATTGGAAGTTGTCAAAAATCAAATGGAGAGGAGAACATTGGTGTTGAGGGAGAAGAGCCGCCATGTCTTCCACAGCTGTAAAACCTCAGACGCAAGGCCTTCTGGCCCAGCATCTACAGATTTTAAAGCAGTTGTCCGATCCCCGAGAGGGTTGCAGATTTCTACAGAAATTATGATTCCATTAAGGATTTTGAGGATCTCCTCAAAGAAGGATCTCCTCAAGGAAAGGTGCCATCTTTCAAAGGGCAAAGTAATTTTGGAATGTAAAGAATTTCTTTGGATGGAATTCCATGAACATTGTCACTGCCCCTATGTTCCTGAACTGTGAAACATGACTGTGTGACTATTAACAGATTTTTAAAAGTGAAATTGAATGCATAAAGTTTGACATCAAAGGCATTAATGTGCTGTGATGGACTAATATTAGCTATTATATCAGACAGTCATATGATTGGCAATGCCAGGAATGAGTCAAAGAATGAAGCCGCACTCACCATTAAAATAGGATTGCAGGATCTATCCTAAAGTACGGTGTTGTCATGGATATGATCCTTAAGCATATAAGGAAGTATTACAACTATTATTCAAATATATGCACCAAAGGCAAAGATGAAAGAATTGAAGATTTCTCCTGACTTTTGAGTCTGTAAATTAATCAAACATATGCTCAAGGTACATTAATAATTTTTTAAAAGCATATGAATTGGCAAAGAGTAAAATTATGTCTATTTTCTATTTTCCTGTATATAGTAAATTCCAAAGACATAGTGGTTCTAATTGACTGCTTGAGTTAAGCAGGAGGGTACAAGATAAGAAAACAAAAAAACACTTGAATCCCTCTAGAGTGACAAAGGAAATAAAGCAATGTCTCTTACAAGAGCTACCTAAAAGGTGAAAGAAATATTTAGGAATAAATCTAACTAGAGATAGAAAAAACCTAAACAACAAAAACTACAAAACACAACTAAAGAAAACTCCGAGACCTAGCATGCTCATGGATTGGAGGACTTTACATTGTGAAGATGGCCAACACTGCCAGAGGGATCTGCAGGAACAGTGCAATCCCAGTCCAGATCCCATCACCATTTTTCAAAGAGATGGAAAAAGTAATCACAACTTCTTATGGAAAAGGAAAGAGACTTCAAATAACCATTTTAGATGGCTAGCTATTTGTGAAAGATCTTGGCTTGCTTCCCTCATTTATTGGGGTTAATCAAATAGAAAGTGGCCTTCAAGGACAGTTATGGAGAATTCTAACACTAGTACTTAATTCTGACACATCTAACATTTGCTTTTTGAAAGCAAAGTCATAAAAAGTAAATGTGTTTACTGCTTTTATAAAAATTATAGAGAAGAACTTAACAGGAAATTTTTTTTTCTCTAAGAGCAACTTTAATTTTTTTAAATAATTTTAATGAACATTTACAGAGAATTTGGATTTCCATTCATTCATTGCTGCACTTCTCTACCCGCCCAGCCTTCTCCCCCTGCCCCCCAGTTGGCTCCTCTCTTTCAAAAGTAAAAGAAAGACTCCCTCCCTGGCACACTATCCCCCCGCACCCCTCCCGCCGCCCCAAGTACATTCCACTATGCAACCTTAATTGTGGACTCTTGTGATAACCATAATACCCTATCATACATCGCTTTTAAATTATTCAGTCCCTCATCTGTTTCAGTGCAGTATACACAATTTATCCAGTTTTTCTCACTCTTACCCCCACCCTGATATCAGTCCCATTTTACAGCAGTGGCACCATGCAATATTTGTCCTTTTGCGACTGAGATATTTCACTCAGCATAATGTCCTCCAGGCTCACCCATTTTTAACAATATTGAATGAGTTTCTTGTTTTTCAATGCAGCATAGTATCATAGTATTCCATTGTGTGAATATACCACAGCTTCTCTATCCATTCATTGATGGGCACTTGGGTTGTTTCCAACTCCTTGCTGTTGTGAACAGAGCTGCAATAAACATGGATGTGCATAGGAAATTTTTAAAAGTAACACAAGTTTTCCTTTCAATAGTCCTTGGGTAGTTATGACAGAATAGCTTCCACTTCTTGTTTGTTTCATTGAACAAGGATATTGGTCCAAAGTTTTGTTTGGTTTTAGTGTCTGCTTCTGCCTCCCCTTCTGTCTGATTGGCTTCCTCCAAGGCCACCAGCTCTTAGTGCTCCATGGATTGAACTGCTGTAGGAATCATGTGGAGGAGGGTACCACTTCCACAGAAGGAGGAAGCCCTCATTCTTGTCTGCTAACCTGATCATGGCCACTTGGGTAGAGATCACTAAGCTGCTTGAGGAACCGTCTCCACTTCCACCATATCTATCACATGAGCTTCTTGTAATCATCACAGCAACTGCTTCCACCATCATATGGGGGCCCTCATGTAGGTGGAGCACTAGGTGAGTTACCATCCCTCTCACACGAATCTCGGTAGGAGCCTCCACGTGGACAATCTGAATAGTCACAATCACGACCACAGCCATCTCTGTCACTGTAGCCTCTGGATGGATAGTCTTCACGTGAACTGGAATGACCATTATCTTGGTGGTGGTGCATAATCTCTTGTATCTCAAGAGCTTGGGTCATCTCTCCTTGAATCTTTATTAGAATATCCATCATCTCTTGGGCACAAATAAACATCTCTTCGAGAAGACAAAGGTTCCCTTCTTGGTGGACCTCCATAACTGTCTCTTCTACATGATAACAGGTGCTCTTCCCACTGCAGCTTTCAACTGGTCCTGAAGAGGCTGATCTTGTAGGAGGAGGCCCTCCACTTCATGGTGGTGGTCCCCTTTTTACTGGCAGTGGTCCCAGGAAGAACTCATGTTAAAATTCATAGAATAGCCACCATCTTCCATGTGAACCCCACATGAAGAGGGTCCCCTGGTTCCTCCAATTCCTCCTCTTCCACATTGAAGACCTCTTGGAGGACCTCTGCTTCTTGGAGGTGAAGGGTGTCCACACCTACCACTTTCAAATGTTGCTTTAGTGGCTTTTTCCACCTTGATGACCTTTTCATCTAAGGACTCTCCATTCATATCTCTGGCTCCATCTTTGGCATCCGCTGGGCTTTCAAAGGTGACAAAAGCAAATCCTCTTGATTTGTTGGTTTATCAAAAGCACTTCTACCATTCATCCAAATACCATTTGCCAAATACCCCTTCCAGGGCTTTCTCATTTGTTTCTGTACCAAGCCGTCCAATGAGGAGCTTTCCTAGGCAATGAGCTTCACCCATTTTTCCCCAGGGGTGTGTATTGCAGACCAGATGACTGTTCCAAGCTCCTTCAAGCTCACCAATTGGCGCTTTGATGAGGCTCTGCACGAGGGCTTGCCAGTGGGTCAGAGAACTAGAAGGAGACAGCACTCGCACAACTGCATGACCTCTGGAAAATGTCCTGATTGATGTAGGAAGCATCAAAAGGAATGAAGGGAGCACCCACTCACTTTGTCAGAAAAGAATTGGTCAACACTGAATCATTTCAGGAAGTGGCATATGAGAACTAATGGAAATAAGCAAAGCCAAAGCTGTACTGGAGGTAAAAAATCCAGCAATTGATGGAATACCCATTGAGGGATTTGGACAAATAGATGCAGCCCAGGACATATTCACTAGCATCTGCCAAGACATTTGGAAGATGGTACCTAGCCAACTGACTGGAAGAGATTCCTTTTTGACCTCATTCAGAAAAGAAAAAAAAAAGTTAATCCAACATATTATAGAAATTACTGAAGAATATCATTGATAGCACATGCAGATAAAATCCTTCTGACAATTATGAAATAACTGGAAAAATAATATTGATAGACTATGGCATGAAAGAGACCACTGCTAATGTCAGGTGGATCTTGACTGAGTGTTGAAAATACCAGAAAGCTGATTACTTGTGCTCTAAAGGCATTTGACTGTGTGGATCATAACACATTATGGTTAACACTGAGAAAAATGGGAATCCTGTATCTATACTGTGCTCGTGTGAAACCTGTGCATAGACTAAGAAGCTCCCCAACAGAACAAAGGAGCACTGCATGGTTTAAAATCAGGAAAGGTGTATATCAGGGTTGTATCCTTTACTTGTATCTAGTCAGTCTCTGGTGATGCCTTTGAGCTGTGGTGCTGGAGAAGAGTTTTGAACATACTATGGACTGAACATACCATGGACTGCCAGAACTAACAGACCTGTCCTGAAGAGGATGAAACCAACCTACTCCTTAGAGGCAAGGATTTTGAGACTCCATCTCACATACTTTGGACATGTAAGCAAGAGGGAAGGGGATCTCAAAGGTGCATGGTTCAAATCCACCAGATGCTCCAATGGAGGAGAGGCAATCAATGCCAGTTGGATCCAATTTGACACCTGATCCAGGCCATGGACTTTGCAGTTACTTGCTATGCATCAGAAAGCTGGACAGTGACTAGAGATGATAGAAGAATTGATGCCTTTGAGTGGTGGTTCTAGAGAAGTGTATTGACTATACCATGGACTGCTAAGACAACAAACAGGCTTGTCCTAGAGAGGATGAAACCAGGATGCTCGTTGGAGACAAGGATTCTGAAGCTTCGTCTGACATACCTTGGACATGTTGCAAAGCGGGACCAGTCCTTGGAGAGGGTGGAGGGACAGTGCAGGAGAGGAAGACCCCCAATGAGATGGATTGGTTCAGTGACTGGGATAATGGGATAGGTGTGTAAGAGACAATAAGATTGGCACAGGATAGAGCAGGGTTTAGGGCTGTTGTACATCTGAGTTGCAGGCAACTCAACGGCTCATAACAACTACAACAACAACCAGGAGGGGCCAGTCTCTGGAGAAGGATAGCGAACGTGCTTAGAAAGGTCAAGGGACAGTGCAGGAGAAGGAGACAGCTATTGTGCACAGGGCCACTATGAGTCACAAGGAACTAGACAACACATTCGGTATGTATACTAGCAAATCATTGGAGAAGCTGGCTGATAAGAAGAATGTAGCATCAGGATTAGAGAAAGACTCATCAACAACCTGCATTATGCAGATGACACACCTTGCTTGTAGAAAAGGAGGATTGCTTGAATGTAGCACTTGCTGCAGAAGACCAAACACTATAAAGCCTTTAATATGAATTAAAAATAATCCTCACCATAGACCAAATCGGCAACATCATGATAAATAGAGAAAAGACTAAAGCTGTCTTTGATTTCCTTTTGCTTGGATCCACGATCAGCCTCATGATAGCAGCAGTCAAAAAATTAAGACATGTTGCCCGAAGAAACCTGCTGTCACAGAACTCTTTAAAGTGATAAAGAGCAAGGATCTCCGTTTAAAGACTGAGGTGTTATTTAGCCATGATATGATCCAGTTGTTCTGATCTAAGCCATGATATTTTTAGCTGTTCCACTATGTCCACCATAAGGTTGTTGAGTCATGGTTGACTTGATGGCACCTAACATTATAAAAAGCTAAGGAAAGGCTTAAACACAGATAGGATTCATTTTGGAAGTTTAATGAGGATGAAGAGGGGGAGAGAGTAGAGCAAAAAATAAATTAGAAGAACGAGAAAAGTATACAGTAAGGAGTTGGTTTAACTCAACTCTGCTGTCAGGTTAGAACCAAATCATAGCTAAGCCTCCAGTGATTTTCAGATTTGTATTACACGGGAAGATGTTGTCAGTCTTTCTAAGGTGGAGCTGATGGTGGGTTCTAACCTCCAGAGGCTCCACATTTGTGTTTGCAGCACAACTCCACACAGGCTGTGGCAGCAGAGCTCTTTGAGAGATTGATGAGACACTGCAGTTAGTTAATTAATGTTAGAATCAGTGTCTGAAAGATTGTATGGAAAGCCAGTCTTAATTTGTAAACCTTCACATTAATATAAAAACTAATAACCTTGCAGAAAGGGACAAAAACTTAAAGTACTTACTGAAGAAGATCAAAGACCCAAACCTCCATAGGGTGTACAGCTCAACATCAAGAAATCAAAAATCTTCTGTTACGATAGATGGAGCAGATTAACATTGTCAAGGATTTCCTTTTACTTGGGTCAACAGTCAACATCCATGGTAGCAGAAGTCAGTAAGTCTAAAGACATGTTGCATTTGGCATTTCTGCTGTTAGGGACCTCATAAAGTGCTGAAGAGCAAAGATATCAGTTTAAAGACTAAGGTGAGCCTGACTGTAGCCATTATATTTTCACATACTTTGGACATGTTGCTAGAAGGTGCTATTCCTTGGAGAAGAACATGATGCTGGGAAGGGTGGAGGGTCGGCAAAGGAGAGGAAAACCTTCAACCAGGTAGACTGAAATGGTGACTGCTGCAATGATCTCTTGTGTGTTAGGAAGTGTGAGGATGGCACGTGATAGAATAGGGTTCAGATCTTTTGTTCATAGAGTCGCTGTGGGTCATACCAACTTGATGGCACCTAACAACAATAACATGCATGTGAAACTTGGACATTGGCAAAAGAAGACAAAAGCAGAATTGATCCCTTTGGATTGTGGTGTTCCCAAAGAGTATTGAATATCCCAGAACTGCCAAAAGGACAAGTAAATCTGTCTGGCACATAGTTTCACCAGGGTGATCCTTGGTGCAAAGGTGGTAAAACTACATCCCACTTACTTTGGGACTTTTCAGGAAGGGCCAGCCCTTGGAAATTTACATCCTGCTTGGAAAAGTGGATGGTTAGAAAAAGAGAGGAAACCCCTCCATGAGACGGATGGAACAGTGACTGCAACATGGACATGAGAAGTGCAGATGGTCAGGATGCACAGGGCAGGGCAGGGTTGCTATGTGGTGTTCACAGAGTGGTTAGGAGTCAGTCCACTTCATGGCACCCAGCCACAATAGTCCACTGCTGCAAGCATGCTGTGCTAATCCTACATAGGTCAGCAACCAAAATAACCACACATAAATCACGTTTCTCATCCCATATCCATTCTCTTTTTGCAGGCCTATTGCTACTAACTGGTGTAGGGTCCTCTGGTCTTCTAGCTGTCTTGGTGTTACAGCTCTTGACTCACATTAAAACTCCTTCTAGAAGCTCCTTGTCTTCTCTATCTGCCTCTTCCTTCCTTCTGCTTATCCTCCTACTTTGTTTTGCTTTTCCTGCCCCTGAAACCTTGGTGGAGTTAACAGCCTATCCTTGCCAGTTTCAAGGTATTGCCCTCCTGCCAAGGTCACCATCTGACCAGTCCTCTCTTAACTGGCCACAGAAAATTAATTAGCACATGTAAAGTTAATTTACATATCTGTTGGCCAATCCCTGCACAATGCATACTGGTCAGAAGGCAGAGTACAGTCAAGAGCCAGACAAAAACCGAACTAAATTGTTTACAATTTACAGGGAAAATTAACAAACCTATTTATGCAAAACTTATACTTGGACCAGAAGGCAGTCGTCAGAATCGAGCAAGGGAATACTGCATGGTTCAAAATTGGGAAGGTTGTACACCAGGGATGTGTCTTATCTCCATACCTTTTCAATCTATACATAGAACAGATTATCTGGGAGGCTGGACTCAATGAGGAGAAATGTGGCATCAGGATTGGAGGAAGACTCATCAACAACCTGCGTTATGCAGATTAAACAACCCTACTTGCTGTAACTGAGGAGGACCTGAAGTGCATGCTGCAGAGGGTCAAGGACTGCGGCCTTCAGTGTGGATTGAAGCTCAGTATCAAAAAAACAATTTCTCACCACTGGGCCAATTTGCAGCATCATAATGGATGGTGAAGAGATTGAGATTGTAAACAACTTTAGTTTCCTTGGCTCCACAATCAACAGTCTTGGCACCAGCAGCCAGGAAATTAAAAAGATATATTGTGTTGGAAAGTCTGCTGTCAGAGATCTCTCCAAAGAACTGAAGAGCAATGATGTCAGTCTGGAGACTAAAGTGTGCCTGATCCAGGCTGTGGTCTTTGCAGTCACTGACTGCATCAGAGAGTTGGACAGTGACTTGGGATGATGGAAGAAGAATTGATGCCTTTGAGCTGTGGTGTTGGAGAATAGTATTGAATATACCATGGACTGCTAAGAAAATGAACAGGTTCATCCTGGAGAGGATGAAGCCAGGCTGCTCCTTGGAGGCAAGTATTCTGAAGCTTCATCTGACATACTTTCAATAGGTTGCAAGGAGGGACCAGTCCTTGGAGAGGGATGTCATACTTGGGAGGGTAGAGGGGCAAGGCAGGAGAGGAAGACCCTCAGATGGATTGATTCAGTGACTGGAGTAATGGTGTGTCAGAGACAATAAGATTGGCACAGGATAGAGCAGGGTTGCAGGGTTTAGGGCTGTTGTACATAGGGTCGCTATGAGTCGCAGGCGACTTGACGGCACATAACAAGAACAATGGGGTAGAAAATGAAGGCAAAGTTAATTCTTCAGGGCTTAAGGGAATATCTCTCAAGATATTTTTCCAAAGAGGCAAGGCCACATAAGAAGAACTCATTTCAACACCTTCGCTATTGAATTTATATTCATTGTTCTTCATTGTCTTCCCTCATGATAAATCTTTTCTCATGAAGTGATGTCAACTATACACATTTGTTCTCTCAGAGAAGTGTAAGAAATACCTGAAGGGAGCTCTGGTGGCCTAATGGCAAAAAACTGTGCTGCAATCTTGAAGGTGTGTGGTACAAATCCACCAGATGCTCCACTGGAGAAGGAGGGGCATCTCCTCCTCTGCCAGATGCATCAGATTCGATGGTACACAACAAGGAAAAAAGGAAATATCTGAGTAGAGTAGAGATAGACCTCATTCAGACCGTTTAAGACAAGAGAATCAGGAAAGAAACTCTTGCAGGATCATCCTTATATGGAGGACATTCCATTTTAATAAATTAGGAATCATCCCTTTGAGGTTTAGGAAACAGATTATTAGATATTGGAGCTACTTTTCTGACATGCTTTGATCATTTTACATTTTCATGGAGAAAGACCATTTCTTTTTCATGGTACATGTCTAATAGTTGTGGGGGGGTTTTTTGAGGTTGTTAATAGTTAAAGCTTGCTCCGCTCCACAATCAACACTCTTGGCATTAGTAGTCAGAAATTCAAAAGATGAATTGCATTAGGGAAATCTGCTGACCTTTTCCAGAGTACTGAGAAGCAACAATGTCAGTCTAGAAACTAAGGTGCACCTGATCCATTCCATTGTCTTCACAGTTCCTTGCTATACATCAGAGAGCTGGATAATGACTAAGGAGGATAGAAGAATAATTGATGCCTTTGAATTGTGATGCTGGAGAAGAGTCATGAACCATGGGCCACCAAGAAAACAAATTGGTCTGTCTTGGAGAGGGTGAAATCAGATTTCTTCTTGGAGGCTAGGATTTTGAAGCTCTGTCCCACATACTTTAGGCATGTAACCAGGAGGGACCAATCTTTGGAGAAGGATGTCATGCTCAGAAGGGTGGAGGGACAGTGCAGGAGAGGAATACCCTTGATGAGATTGATTGATACAGTAACTAGGGCAATGGGGGTAGGCATGTCGGAGTCAGTGAGACTAGCTCAGCACAGGGCAGGCTTCAGAGCTGTTGTACATAGAGTCACTGTGAGTAGCAGGTGACTCGACAGCACATAACAACAATCATAATTACACAGTTTCTATCACTAAAGCTCTCAGTCCTCATGGAAGTGTTTCATAGTGAACTGTTTTTGTTTTGTTGTGGCTTTTATATTTTACCATTGCCAAGGTCCTGAAACAGTAAAAATGCATCAATCTTCTTTTTGCCCACAGCTACTTTTTTTCACCTTATAATTTTTCTCCCTTTTGTTTTCCATTGCCAATCTGTTTGAATCATTGAGTCAGTTTCTCAAAACCTTACCAATGAAGAACATTTATCCAGTGAACATCTAATAAGGCAGTTAATGAAGATTGGCAACAAAAAGTTTGACGAAACCTACAGATTGCAAGGCATTGAGGATCAGCACAAACACCAGGGGGCACATATCAGGTGAGTTTTATTCACTGAAAGTAGTGTCAAGAGACATTTTTAAGGTGTCGTGCTATTAAATATCTATTCATAAAACCCAAACCAAACCCTCTGCATTTGAGTCCATTCTGATTTATGATGACTCTCTGGGACATAATAGAACTCTCCCATCAGATTTTCAAGGCCATAAATCTTTAAAGAAGCAAATTGCCACCTTTTTCTCCTGCAGAGCAACTGATGAGTTATATAGCTGTCAGCTGCTTCAGGGCACATACAAACATATGTATGTATTTATAAGAATTAAAATGTGTTTACAGGATTTTCCAATATAATAGTTTCATAAATGTGACTCAGATATTGAATCTTTGAAACCTATTTCAGTTACACACAATTATCTAAAAGCCTACATTTGAGAAACACTGTGACAGTAATGATTCTTATCTCTACTAGATGATAGAACCTATGAAATACAAGACAACTCAGGGCAAAAGCCATACATATTTACTGTGCTTGATAATGTTGACATGGTAACACATTTATTTCCAACAGCACGGTGCTTGTTTTTAATAGAGGGCATACGGAAGTGAGTCCTCATGAAAATAAAGAAGACAATCACTATGGGAAAACCTTCAGTCAGTCTGCAAATCTTCCTGTGTTCAAAACAACTATTCCTGAACAAGATACTTCTGAATGTCATGAGTTGGGAAAAACCTTCATGGATCATTTATTAATTGACCGTTATGTCAGATCTCATACTGGTTTCAGTACCTATCAAAATAAGGAATGTGGAGAAGCCTCCTGTTACCTAAGCCCTCCTGTGAAAACTGTTACTGAAGAGAAATCTTGTGAATTTCATGGATATGGGGCAGATTTCTATACTTTCTCCTCTTCTCAGACACATATGGAAGATCCTAAATATGAATTTAAAGACTGTCGGGAAACTTATACACCTCCTTCATCTCTCATGTTATATGAAACATTTCACAGGGGAAATGAGCCTTATGAAAGTCAGGAAGATGGGAGAGCATTAACTTTTTCCTCATCCCTCACTGAACATACACAAATTCCCAGTGGAGAGAGGCCTTTTGAATGTAAGGAATGTGGGAAAGCCTTTGATTATCTCTCAGATCTCAGTAGACATGTAAGGACTCACAGTGGGGAGAGGTCCTATGAATGTAAGGAATGTGGAAAAGCCTTTAGTCAGTCCTCACACCTATGTGACCATATGAGATCTCACAGGGGAGAGAAGCCTTATGAGTGTAAGGACTGTGAGCAAACCTTTCGTTATTTTTCAAACCTCACCAGACACAATAAAATCCACAGTGGAGAGAGGCTTTATGAATGTAAGGAATGTGGGAAATCCTTCAGCTGTTCCTCAAACCTCACTACACATATAAGAACTCACAATGGAGAGAGGCCGTATGAATGTAAGGAGTGTGGGAAAGCCTTTGGTCGGTCTTCGTCCCTCACTAAACATGTGAAAACTCACAGTGGAGAGAGGCCTTATGATTGCAAAGTGTGTGGCAAAGCCTTTAGTCAGCTGGCTCACCTCACTCTCCACATAAGAGTTCACACGGGAGAGAAGCCTTATGAATGCATGGAATGTGGAAGGGCTTTCAGTCAGTCCTCTCACCTCACTACACATATTAGAACTCACAGTGGAGAGAGACCTTATGAATGTAAGGAATGTGGGAAGGCCTTTAGGTGTTCCTCATCCCTAATTAATCACGTAAGAACCCACAGTGGAGAGAGACCTTATGAGTGCAAGGAGTGTGGGAAAGCTTTCAGTAAACTGGCAAATCTCTCTCTGCATTTAAGAGTCCATACTGGAGAGAAACCTTATGAATGTATGGAATGTGGGAAAGCCTTTAGTCAGTTAGCCCACCTCACTGATCACATACGAACTCACAGTGGAGAGAGGCCTTACGAATGTAAGGAATGTGGGAAAGCCTTCAGTCACTCCTCCTCCCTCACTAACCATTTAAGAACACACAGTGGTGAAAAGGCATATGTGTGTAAGGAGTGCGGGCGAGCATTTAGTCAGTCTTCATCCCTAACGAAACATACAAGAACCCACAATGGAGAGCGAGCTCATAGGTATAAGGCCCATGGAAAAGTCTATAGTTATTTCTCCTCCCAATGTAAACCTAGTAACTCACAGTGGACAGAGCCTGTGTGAATGTAGGGGATGTGGGGAAGTCTCCCCTCAATCTCTGGAACATACTGAAGAGCATTTGTGTAAGAAATGTTGGGTAAGTTTTATTTCTAATAATTTCCCAAACCTGAAAGAATAAACATGGCCCAGAATCCATGTAACTGTAAGGAATGTAGGAAAATAAAATTACCCAGAATGAACACGTGAGAAATCACACTGCAGAGATGGCAGGTCAGCGTGAGGGGCCTAGGAACATCTTCATGATTAATCTTATGAATGTAAAGATGGTGGGAGCCTTTAGTGTCCCTCTTCCCTCAGGACACCCATGAGACCTCATGCACTGGAGAGACCCGTGACTGTCTGCTTTGTGAACAAGCCTTCAGCCACATTCTCCTTTCTGTGCACAAAGAAATTCATGCCAGGGAAAAAAGCTACTCCGATTCGCAGATGCAGGCTTTACCATTCCCTTATTCCTGTGTGCACAGATTTTCCTCTTTATTTTCTGATGAGATATTAACGTGATAAATATTGCTCTAAGTACTACCCTTCTTATTCTAGAATGTGAATTTTTATAAGTAGCCATTGTATTTTGACTCATTTGTGTAAATTTTTTTAAGAAAATCTCATCAACACAAGTGTGTTGAGGTTTTTTTTTATCAACTATATTAAAAATCAGTATTGTATGAGAATATAAAGCATCCTTCTCACTGTAGAACATTTTAACAGGAAAATGTATTCCCAAAGAGAAGTCACTTAGAACCTCACAACCCTTGCTATTTCAGTTATTTCCTTTCAGCTTACTTGAGTGCAAAAACGAGATTTCTTAACAAAATCAATATTCTCCTGTGTTTAGTGTTCAAGTAAGTGTTTACATTGCATCTAATTTCTGTTTCTAACTTAAGTCATTATTCTTGGATTAGTAGTGAGGAAACAGCAGAAGGTTTTCATTCCAATTACCACCATCAAACAACAACAAAAGTGTCCCTGTCTTAAAAAAGGGCATGAGAATTGGGATTCTCATGGAAGGGTAGGCCAGTGGTTATAAGGGACACACACCCAGCCCCAGTGTGACCCAGCTCCAGTGGAGCTTCTGTCTTGGATAGGCTCAAAGCCTGTGGTGAGTGACAAAGTCCTGCTTTTGGCAATCTGGCCATCCAAAAGTATGTGCTGCACCAGAACCTGAGGCTGGTGGGCTGAGCTGGACTGGATTAGTGACTGCTCCACAAGCTGGTAAGAACACCCACTTCATGGCTTGAAGATGAAGGGAGAGAATCTAAGTTTCTTCAATAGTTGGGATAAGACAGGGGCTATTGGACCTGAAGGCTTATCCAGTGCACTGCGTCCATTATTACATAGAAGTATGCCACTGACCGTCTTGCAAAGTCTCATTTCTCACTGTCATCAATAAAATTCCTAACTAGCCCGTCATTGGGATACTGAGACTGTAAATTCTGTGGACGGAGATTGCCGGCCTTTCTCCTGTGGAGCTGCTGGTGGATTCACACTACCAGAGAAGCTCAGCCACAACCCCAAAATCCCCCTTGTAGCCTCAAGTGTCAGGGACCAAAAGGAAGAGAAGCTTCCAAATAACCTTCCCTTACAACTGCAGTTCCCTTTTGGAAGATCATTCCATGGCAATCCCTGGGCAGCATAGTGTCTACTGATACAGTGATGGTGAAAACTCTGACAGCGCTCTCCAGGAAGAGAGTTAAAGAAGTATCTGGCTTTATCTCACAGTATTGAGCTGCTAGAATATGAATTTTAAAAAAAAAAAATTTGGATCACAGCAAAAGTAATTGTGGTATGAAAAGCTATGTATCAAAATATGTGACACAGATTTTGAAATATTTACATATAGATGGCTTAAAATTTCAGAATGCTGACTAGCAAGTCTATAGATCTAGTCCAATATTTTTCCTTGAGAGTGAGATTGAGTGATTTCTTCTAATACATTTTCTAACATTGTTCACTAATAAAGTATTTTTAAATTTTTTTTTTTAATTTTTTTTTTTAATTTAAATACTAATTCACTTTTGGGATGTATGTGACTTGACAAATGCATTAGATGGTGTGCTCATTCCTGCAGGGAAGGTACAGCACAGGACTGCTGTTCCCCTGAAACCCCCCCCTTACCATGTCCACTTTTAGTCTCACCTTCCTGACTCTGAATGTCCCAGCAGCTGCCCCGTGTCATCATCAGGTACTGTTCTAACGCTGGCTCCTTTTACTTGTATAATGCGGAGAATCAGCCATGTAGATGAATGTATAACTTGTTCCTTTTAATTCATGTGTACTCACACGCCAAAGTTTATGTATTCACCTTTTGGGAACATTTGAGTTTCCACTTTTTACTAATAAATTCTATATAAATGCACACTGCCTTTATTTTATCATTTCCCCCCCCTCCCTCCATTTTCCTACATGTATCTGAAGAAACATTGTGTGTTAACTTCAATGGAGACTACCAATCTACTTTTTCAGGCAACTCTGTCAAGTGTGGAGACTAAGGTGTGCATGTTATGTGCTATGCATCAGAAAGCTGGGCTTTCTGAAGAATTTGAGCTGTGGTGCTAGAGAAGAGTATTGCATCTGCCAAGAGAACAAGCAGGTTCATCCTAGAGAGGGTGAAACCAGGGTACTCCTTGGAGGCAAGGATTCTCCATCTTACCTACTTTGGGCATGTTTCAAGGAGGGACTAGTCCTTGGGGTCATCATGCTTGGGAGGGTGGAGGGACAGCACAAGAGAGGAGACCCTGGATGAGATAGATGGACTCAGTGACTGAGGTAATGGAGGTAAGTGTGTTAGACATACAAGGTTGTCACAGGATAGAGCAGGGTTTAGGGCTGTTGATTATAAGGTCACTATGAGTCGCAGGTCATTTGACAGCACATAACAATAACCATTTGTATTCCCTCCAAGACAGTAACTGAAGTGTACTGTTGAGTTTGATTCTTTTGCATGTACCACTAAACTGGATCTGACTGGTACAGGAAGAGATTGTTCCTCCTTCTTCAGCAGAGCATCTGGTGGATTTGAACCACGCACCTGTGGGATTGCAGTGCAGCTTCTTGCCACTAGGTCATCAGAGCTCACCCTGAGTTTGATTCTTGATTGCAAGTTCGATCGATTTCGGACTGCAAAAGTTAGTAGAAATCTTCCATTTCCTCCTCTGGCTCTAGTTGTCTATTTGAATGACAGTTGTATTCACTGGACTTCCTTGTATGCATACAGATATCCTGTCACTCACCACATTGTATTTCATAATGGACCTAGAAATTACTTTTTTAATTATGAAACCAACCCCATTTTATCTCACCTTTTCATACCCAGCAGAGTAGATCATATGGTCATCTCATTCAAAACGTCCCATGCCAAGCCATCTTGCTTCACCAGTACCTATTATGTCAATATTTATGTGTTTCATTTCTTTCTTAACAATGTCAAATTTTCCTACATACATACTTCTCACATTATGCAAAGGCTTTTGACCGTGTGGATCACAACAAGCTGTGGCTGACTCTGAGAAGCATGGGAATCCCAGAACATTTGATTGTGCCTATGTGAAACCTATACTTGGACCAAGAGGCAGTCATCAGAACAGAGCAAGGAGACACTGAATGGTTCAAAATTGGGAAAGGCGTCCACCAGGGATGTATTCTGTCTCCATGCCTTTTTAATCTTTATGCAGAACAGATCATCCGGGACACTGTGCTTTACGAGGAGGAATGTGGCCTCAGGACTGGTGGAAGATTCATCAACAATCTACATTATGCCGATAACACAACCCTACTTGCTGAAACTGAGGAGGACCTGAAGTGCTTACTGCAGAAGATCAAGGACTGCAGCCTTCAATACGGATTAAAGCTAAACATCAAGAAAACAAAGATTGTCACCACTGGACCAATTGGCAGCATCAGTATGGATGGTGAAGAGATTGAGATGGTTAATAGTTTTTGTTTGCTTGGCTCCACAGTCAACACTCTTGGTACCAGCAGCCAGGAAATAAAGAGACAAATTGCATTGGGAGTCAGCTGTCAGGGACCTCTCCAGAGTACTGAAGAGCAACAATGTCAGGCTGGAGACTAAGGTGCACCTGATCCGGGCTATAGTCTTTGCCATTGCATGCTATGCATGAGAGATCTGGGAGTGATAGAAAGAGAATTGATACCTTTGAGCTGTGGTGCTGGAGAAGAATGTTGAATATACCATGGACTGCTAGGAGAACAAATAGGTTTGTCCTGGAGAGGGTGAAGCCGGAATGCTCCCTGGAGTCAAGGATTCAGAAGCTTTGTCTAACATACTTTGGGCTTGTTGCAAGGAGGGACCAGTCCGTGGAGAGGGACATCATGTTTGGAAGAGTGGAGGGACAGCATAGGAGAGGAAGACCCTGGATGAGATGGATCAGTTCTGTGACAGGTGGTGGGAGTAGGTGTGTTGGAGACGGTGAGGTTGGCACAGGATAAATAAAGCAGGGTTTATGACTGTTGTACATAGGGTCGCTATGAGTTGCAGGAGACTCGACGGCACATAACAACAATTGTTGAGTCTGTCCTGACTCGTAGTGACTCTGAGACAAAACAGGACTGATTGCCAGACACAGATTCCAAGACAGCTTATCTTTACAGAGCAGACTACCACATCCATCTCCCAAAAAGCGGCTTGAACCACAGACCTTTGAATTAGTAACTGAGCACTTAAACCCTTTTGCACTAGAGCAGCTCCTCTGTTTCCACCATTAATCTATAAGTGGCTGCTGGGGTCGGCAGAAACTGCTTCCTGGAGGAAACTACCACACTACTTGATAACAGGTATAAAATACAAGAGGGAAACTTTCTGTCCGCCTTTCTACAGAGCTTGCTTTGTTGTTCTAGCATTCTATGGTCTATTCAGTAGGATTTATCAGCACCGTGACTCAAATGTATCGGTTCTTTTTCACCCTTCCTTCTCAGTGTCCACCTTTTGCATGGATATATTGTTACTGGGTCCCATTGAGTCAAGTACAACTCATAGCGACCCTACAAAC